GTAGGTGTAAATATGTCAAAACTTAGCGCATATACACTCATTTGCAAGTTAAAGTTGGTCTGCGAGAGACTCGCCGGGAACCCAGCTGAATCTCTTGGTTTTGATGCTTCCAGGCAGCCAAGATAATTTAGGGGAGGTGTGTTTGGACAAAATTTTAGTTCACGAAAAAGATTGTTCAGAAAGCTCCCTGATTTCGAAAAAAAACTTATGGAAAACCCGCAATTGCAGATTTGCCACAAAATCAGTCAGCCTAAAAACGGTTAGCTCAGCAACTCTGAACGGGTAGATGGGTAGGCTGACGAGACTGTTGAAGTCTTTTTGGTGATGAGAGCTGTGTTAGAGCCGAATAAAATGGCTGGTCGCTTTGATTCTCTTGTTCTGTTCTTATTGTGATTCTCCGTTTTGTGTTTCGGTTTTGCGCCTAAACCGCGTTTTGCGTTTTGACCTGAACGTAAGCCGCGCTTTGTTGTCGCATGTGTTGTTTAAATCAATACATCGGTTTCACTATCTTGTGGCCACCTCGCCTTGAGTCGGGGTGAACTTCGGGACCCCGTTTAGAATTAGTAGTTTTTAAACCGGTGTACAAAAGTCCCACGATTTGAGGTTTGTACAATTCTATTACCTTACTTCTGTATTCATACTACCGCATTTGTTGATAAACCTCCATTTGGACGATGTGACTATTGAAGTTTTGCGCGTGGCCCAGCTGATTGCTGGAAACAATCAATAGTCCGATCTTTCAACCACGTGCTTTAGGAAGATCTTGGAGAGTCCGACACTATGCTCGTATAAAGAGTTCATGCCACCCGAGGGCTGGGATATTTCCAGGTTGCCCAAGCCTAGACAGGGGAAGTCGAGAGGCAGAGGTCGGGTTCGAACCACGGACCTTCCGGTCACTGAATTCGTGCTCTACCCACTTGAGCCTTCTCACCCCTTAGTCTGCTGTAAACCAGATCATTATTCATGTCGTGCAACCATCCACTCTAACGAGTCCACATTACTCATACCGCCTGTGAGTAGTATATTCTCCATTCTTAAATCGAATCACGAAGCCCCACTTATATTCGTCCAAACGATCAGTAATTTGTTCATTCCCTCGCAGTTTGTAGGCGGGGGAATTCTCAATGCCCACGAGGTTTTTCAGTTTAGGTTCACTTAAAATTATGTCGTTGTCCGCAAGAGAATTGAGGGTATTTAACACAAAACTACTCAAATGGTCGCTGAAGTCTCTCCGACAGTTCACTCCCGGCTTCGCTCTTCTTGAGGCTCATCATATAAACACAGCTTACTGGAATCAACCTGACGGCTTCCCTGAATTCCAGCTAAGCCTCTTCTTTATGCTAGGTCTCGGCTGCATGAAGACCTGAATTTTCCGCTGTCACAATATTCAAGATAACAGAACTCACTACTCATAGGGTTGCTGAAAACTCTACGACAGCTCACCTCACAGGTTTCATCATTCTTACTAGGTGCGTCAAGTAGACACGGTTCCAGAATACTCATCAATCTTATGTCCTGCTTGAACTTCAGTTGGACACGGTTGAAGAACTACACTCATCTATCTACACACAAAGTTAGTGCTGACCGGAGACCGGACTGAATCAAAGCTAAATCTTTCGTTTATTGAGAAAATACTATTTCGATATTCTTGTCAGTCGGATGGGACAATCTAGTGCCTACGAATCCCAACTTTTGTCACTCTGACAGAGTACTTTTGCACCGGAAGTTGTATGGGCGTTGATCTACGGTCCACATCCCTCTGGCCGATAGTTTTCCAAAGTGTAGTGGACCGTGACCAAGAGTACCGCATATGTGATGAGACAAAACCAACTAACTTTATCCCAAAGCAAACGCACCTTGGCTTCTGTTCGGGGGCCAGCCGTCCCTAATAACCGAACCTCACATCATTTGGATGCATGTGTCACGTGTAGGACACGGGCCAGACGTAGGCATGCCCTGATTGGTCAGAGTGCCAGCCAATCCGAGCCAAGTACCTTGACTCGACGCTTCTCGCCCCCTCACGGACATTCTGGCACGACCTTGTGGAACACTCTGTGACTACCCTATAAATACAGTTGTAATGATTTTCCTTTGTCTCCATAAAGGGCTGTGTAGAGCTACCGTGCCTTTTGCTATACCATAGTGGGCGGAGCAGGAAGCCAAGGGACCGGCACAGAGTTGCACTACCGTACATCAAGACACAACAGCTTCCGAGCAGTAGTGTTTGAAATAGTGACCAGTAAATTCATTTCACACCAGGGCACGGGGCGGGGGTATTCCAAAACAACTTGTGAGACAACTTACTACAGCATCCAGCGATTTCGCTCTGCTGCTGTGGTGCAGACATACAAAACGGCACTTTGTTCCTCCGTGCCTTCGGTGGACGCATCGCGGATGATTTGGCTACTGTTGGAGTTGCCCTCGGAGGTCACTGCAAGCAGGCTCGACCCCTTTGGAAGCTGGGATGAGATGGGATCAAGCTTTGACGACTCGCCGTGATGGGTAACTACCTGAAAGTAAACGTAAGCGGATACATGTGGTGAGAGTTGGAAACGATGTCACTACATTTTTCTTTAATTGGTGTTCCATACTCGTTGTCTCAGAGGCTATGGCAGTCTGTTTTCTTGTGACTAGCGTCCATGCAGATGCCTTAGGATCATGCTACCACGCAAACTAAAGGTGGCTCTCAGAGGAAGCTTGTTTTGCTATTGCCGACGATTCATTAGAACGCGGTAAAAAGCAGTAATCCAGTGGAACAGAATGAAATATAGTGAGTTGGTGGATACGTAGAGATCCCGCTTCTTGGATGCAGCCGAGAGGGAACAGGAACTTGTTTCCCTCGAAGATATCATCAAAATGCGAGTTTCACCGTGGTGTGGCGATGAACCCACGGTTTTACTGTGATGACGATGATGATGATAGTGATGATGATGATGATGACGATGATGATGCTGGTGATGGTGATGATGGTGATGCTGATGAGGATGACGACGACGATGATGATGATGATGGTGATGGTTACGATGATGGTGATGCTGATGCTGCTGATGATGATAATGATGTTTTTTCTGTTGTGTTTCTTGTCGTCATTGTTGTCGATAATGCAGCTGCCCTCGAAATTAGTTTTTTTCGCTAGCTCAAAATGTAATAGGATCAAGCAAGAACAAGGGCCTATGGAAGGCTTTCTTGCCAAGCAGCGACACGGTCAAGTTGAATGTTAAAAATCACTATTTGACGGCGTGCTCCAAACCAAGTGACTCGGCCCTGTCTGACTGCAAGACTTATTTTATGTCATTGACTGTGAAATTTCGATGTATACTGTTAATCTTGACTGGCTCGTCAGTAGTGGAACTCGACAAACGATTCTGACCCATCCTCATATGGTTGGTAACTCGTGTAAGGAGACGGATGAGCAAACATATCCACAGTCTGTGATAACGTCACATCTGATCTTGAACACTATACTACTCACCGAGAACTTCGTACTAGCCTGAATCGATCTCTTGGGGCATTTCAAAACACTGTGGCCCTGTGGTTCACTGGCATACCCGGTTCCCATCTTCTAATCCTGTAACATCCAAGTTGTGTGGTTAAAATAGTGGTCGGTTGATTTGTTTCACGGGTGGGTGAGATTGCTCAGTGGTTGGAGAGCGAATTTACTGACTGGAAGGTCCGTGGTTCGAACCGGACCTCTGCCTCCCGACTTCCCCTGTCTAGGATTGGGCAACGTGGCAGTATCCCGGCCCTCATGCTTCCTTCGGATGGCATGGCGGCTAGGCACCGAAAGAGTGCTACAGCTAAACGATGTCAGACCTTCTTTACGTGTGCTTGTGACGTCAGCCTCACATTATCAAGTGCATAGCTTTTTCCGCTGCTATTGTCTTTCTGATACATTCCACCCGTAGCCTTGATCACCAGAAAAAACAGGTGTTTGTTGAATGCGTGTGTCTGTGTTTGTGAAAAGACGTTCCGACACCCGATAAGTCCTAGGGTTGATAATTTCGTAGAATTTGCATTAGAGACGTTGTGTTCGAATGATTAAAGGTGTAGACGAATTAAACTGTTTTTGTAACGCACTACTCATAAGGTTGCTGAAAATCCGTCGACAACCCACGAGCGATTTCGCCCTTCTTGGGGCTCACCAGGTGGGCGCAGTCCCAGAGTTCCCGTCAACCTTATGTTCGGCCTGAAACCAAATTGCACGAAATTAGCGAATATACTTTGGTTTTGCGAGAGACTCACCTGGAATCAAGCAGTGTCTCTCGGTTTTGCCTGGACACATTAAAACCAGGGGATTTAGCTGGGTTCCAGGTGAGTCTCTCAAAAAACCAAGTGAGTGTATATTAGAATCAAACTGTTTGTTAAAACATATAAAAAATAGTTAAAAGACAGTCCAGATAAGGGGTGATCAAGACCGGAGCTAAAGTACAATAACAAAAACCGTGGTAGCGTGGTCATGATCACCTCTTATTGGACAGCTTTCCCACTACCGAAGGAAGCTCAGGGTTCGGTATAATGCCACACTGCTCAAGTGGAGAGCAAAAAGCCGGTTTTGGACTCGAATCTTGATCACCCTGGTTCATCGACCCAAACCCTACACATTTTGCGACTTCTCCGGACAGTTTTGAAGGAAACTACTATTTGAATAGGCGTTCCAACGCTTCGATCTCGATTGTGTTAATGACCGAACTCAATTTGTTGCGAGTTTTTCAGTGAACAGAACTTGTATCGATCCACACATCGAATCGAACGATGAGAATGAAACCAGAACAGAATGGAAAAAACAGCCATTCGATATGAGAACATCGAATCCATCCATCCAATCAATAAGAAATAACCTGTGTGGCAATAACTATTTTACACCGACAAAGAGGCCGATGGGCAACGGCAACGAATCGATCTGGCGACCGGCGGATCTAATTTGCAAACATTCTGACCAAATTTTTTTCAGAGGTTTCTGCTCGAATGGAACCGACATAGTGAGAGAAGTGTGCGCCACTCTGATTCTTGTTCTGCCATGATTACCCAACGTGGTGCATGCCCCAGGGGAAGCAGTAAACTCTAACCAGTTCTGTAAATTATTTTTGCCACAAAGGGACTGAACTGCGGCAATCTATAGGATAAGGCTAGCTAGTTTCCTCTCAGTTGAATACCACTTCAATATTTATAAGTGGGTTGGAGAAAGAATACTATCAGAAACTTCATTTTATAAGAGGTTTGGTTAACAATCGGTAGATATTTATAAGGGAGGCTACTCACAAGGTTGCTGAAAACTCTTCGACAGCCCACGACCGGTTTCACCCTTCCCCTTTGGGCTCATCAGGTAGGCGCAGTCCCCGAGTTTCCGTCAACCTTATGTTATGAGTGTATTTCTCAAAAAACATTCCAATTTGGGTTCAAGTAGAACGTAAGTTTGACGGAAACTCGGAGACTGCGCCTACCTGATGAGCCCAAAGGGGAAGGGCAAAACCGGTCATGGGCTGTCAAAGAGTTTTCAGCCATCTTGTGAGTAGTTTCCCTTATGAAAATATACTGCGATATTTCGAATATCGTGCCAACTGAATCATGAGGCGGCCTGTGTGCAGCAAATTCAGTTGTAGAATATCACAAAGGAGCGATTTCAGTTGAGTTCTCGTGAAAGCAAAATTGATTTGCGAATTAGTGTATTTGCTTTGGGCGCAAAAGTTCGTCGGGTCAAGTGAGTAAGTTACCAGGATGATCGGGTTTTGAGGAGGTCAGGGAACCACTCGTGAGATTTCTTGAGACTTCAGGAAGGTTTATAAAGGGCAAGCGTCCAGGGAATTGTATACCAGAATCGGTGAGCATAAGCGATGTAGTAACAGATCGCTGAGAAATGTAGATGATTAGCAGGCGATAGTCAAAGATTCGGCAATAGCAAGGCACAGGATAGATTTTGAAAATGGGGACATTTTGAGACGGGCACTTCGATCCACACCACAGCGACTGGTGGCCGAGGCAGTAGACATCGCCGGTTGTCCCAGAGTGAATAGAGTGTACAGTGTAGAACTGGCAAGCATGTGGAAATCAGTTTTAGATCAGCCGAGACGAAACGAGGTGATGTGCAGTTATCAGTAAAATGGCCCGGGTTTATAAGTACAGGGTTCAAGCAGAGTAAGATCAACTTAACCACCCCATAACCCCTGGAAGCCCTTGACGCACACAGACCAACAAAATCTGTGAACGACTCCGAAGAGGAATACCCCACTAAGGTGTCCTAGACCGGAAAACAAGGCTGCAAAATCCAGATTCAACGTAAAGACCACCTCCCCTAACCAGTCTATCGTGAGTGTTAGTCAGTCCTGCTAACCAAAAAACAGAGATTTCAGATCGACACCCAGCAGTGATCACTTCGGCTAGTCACAAGAAATCCCGTGGATTGGTTTTCTGACTGCCTTAAAACCCGATCGACCTGGTAACTTACTCACTTGGCCTGACGAAACTTTTGTGCCAAAAGCGAAACCAAGCCTCTCCGAGACGATCAGTACCCAAGCGATCCCAAACGTTTTCCAACTGGTTGTGAAAATTCTCTCTGAGAAGTCATCACTTGAAGAGCCAGTCAACAGATGGTGACCACGTGATCTGTTATGCGTGATTGAAGGATGAGTATCTATGTGAGAATTAATCACACTGCTGGTCAGCCACTCAAGGCCGAATAGTCAAGTGTTCAATCATTGGCTAAAGGTCCGAACTTTGGTGCCCAGTAAGGATGGAACAGCTGTGCAGTGCTTCTTGGCTTTTCAGCACAGACTGACTTCGCCCACAGGAAAAAATCTACATTAAGGAGGCGATGGCCCTTATAATGACGGATGAAGCGGCTCTGTAGTCTTTATTGGTAATTTGGCCATACAGTGGAGGTTAGCACAATCTCCACTCCATCATTCCAAGACGAATTCAAACAAAGTAGAGTCTTCGGGAAATACACTCAGTTCCAAATCAATTTGGTTTTCACGAGAGACTGAACTGAATCGCTCGTGTATGATATTCTACTGCAACTACCTGATGAGCCCCAAGAAGGACAAAACCGGTCGTTGGCTGTCGAAGAGTTTTCAGCAAGCTTGTGAGTAGTTTCCTTTATGAAAGTAGAATCTTTCTCGGGTTACGGATATCCCCAACTTTGTGCTGAATGATTAGGAACATTAACGAGGGCCTCGTATCCCCATACAGTCGGAAATTAACACTCGTTTAGTTGTACTTGGTCAAAAGAACGTCGGTGCCACTTGAAACCTACGGAGAATAGTCTTCTTGTCTTAATTTGCATGCGACAGGATGAAGACAAGTGAGATTGTGAGGAGTGGGTTCAGTGGAGCGGCCAATTTGCACTCCTTGTCATCAAGCTCCTTGAACGACAACCAGGAAACTGCAATGTTGAAACAAGGCGCAAGCATCATAAATGACTCTGATATACAATCCCACTTCCTAGCTGTTAGGTATCACCAATACTTTGAGCGTGGATGGTCGTTCAGCTGTAGCACCCTTTCGGTGCCTAACTGCCATGCCATCCGAAGGCTGGGATACTGCCCGGTTGCTCAAGCCTAGACAGGAGAAGTCGAGTGGTAGAGGTCGGGTTCGAACCACGGACCTTCGGGTCAGTAAATTCGCGCTCTAACCACTTATACCATCTCGCCCCGAGCGTGGATGATTCAACTCAGATGGTTCCAACGCCCGTGCTAATGAATCGGCGACATTGAATATAAACTCAAACGGCTTATCCGTCGTTAGTCCAGAGAAAGTCCAATAAAAGATTCGTTTTCAATGGGAGACGTGAGTAGTACGACTCCCCGTAGAATTTGAAAATGGATGTGTTCTGTATCATCGTGACTAACGCCCTTCGCGTTCGCAAAAGTTCCTTTACGCGATACTGTTATCACTGTTTCACTGACTGAAAACCAATGTAAATATTGCAAACGATTCTGAACTTTCCCGCTCACGTGAGCTGAATCCTCTCGAGAGTGACGGCGACAATAGGCAGCATTTTCTACCTTTCCCGGGCCTGGCAACAAAGCGATCGGTGTGTTTAGGCATTTTCAGTGACAGGGAGCAAGGTGTGAGGAAGTCAGTTCTTTTAACTGCAACATAGACTTAAAGAAATTCATAACCTTGAGTAGGTAGAACTGCGTAGGGGACCGCAGCGTGAACAAAATGAGTCACAGTGCTATTTTCGACTATTGGTGCGGCTTAATCAAGTCTTGTCGGAAAAATCTGGTGCCCTAACTAGACAAAGCAGGTATAGTGTTGGGGAGAAATTGGTCGGTTCTTGACAGTTTACTGTTAGATCTGGACCAGTGGCGGTGGACACTGCCATTGTGATGGTGCGCTGGGATTGTTAACACCACTCATGCTCGGCAGCGATGCACGATGATTTGTTCAGTCAAGTTATTGATCATAACTCATTTAGCGGATTAGTCCTTAAGCCTTTGTCGCTTTTCAGTGTACGATGATACCCTAGACGTTGGTAACAAGTCACATAGAACGGGACATAACACTGGCGACGGAGATGGATGAACCAACGCTATTCGTTTCGGCCGCAGCAATGATCGACAAGAAGGAAGTGTTTCCAAAACCTGAGTGAATAGCTGGTGACATCACACTGCGCAGTATATACAGTGGAAAATTGAGTTACAAACGACTCAAGAACCGAAACAGCATGCGGACCAGTAAGTTGAGGGCCGACCGTTTACCACGGGTGCAGTCCATCAAAGCACAATGGAGCTATGGTCCAGCAGCTTGTCCAACGTAACTAAATAACGGTATCCGACGAGACAAAGTTATGCAAATCTACTTCGTTTGTGGTACTTGTCCATGCATACGAGGAATGCACGCACCAGCTACAAAGCCCTCTCGATCGGCCACAAACTGAAGGACCTGATTAGCATTTTGAGACTTGCGACAGATGTAGCCTCAGACCGTAACTTACAGGTCCGGCCAGGAGTGTGAATTCCCCATGCTTCAAACGAAGTGGCTCAAGCACAGATAATGCGAACGAAAACAACGAGACATTGGCTGAGACACAAATACGTGGGGAACATTGCCCTCCCCCCCCGCCCCGCGTCGCACGCACGCAGCTGAGTTTCGCCACACCTCTGATAAGAAAAGTTGAAATCTTTCCACGTTATCAGTCAGTCCCTCGGGTGACAATCTTTCATATATGAACTCGAGTGTACTTAATGCAAGAAAAAAACAAACCCATGGAGCGGAGGTGAACCGGAGTTTCCTCTACATCATTAAAAAACTTACCAGAACCTTTAAACGAGGTGCCGTGATGGACTCCCTTAAGAGATGTGCACTATCATAAAGGAAACTACTCACAAGGTTGCTGAAAACTCTTCGACGGCCCACAACCGGTTTCGCCCTTCTTGGGGCTCATCAGGTAGGTTCAAGTAGAAAATAAGGTTGATGGAAACTCGGGGACTGCGCCTACCTGATGAGCCCGAACTGGAAGGGCGAAACTGGTCGTGGGCTGTCGAAGAGTTTTCAGCCACCTTGTGAGTAGTTTCCCTTATGAAAATATACTGCGATATCTCGGATATCGTGCCAACTAAATCATGAGGCGGCCTGTGTGCAGCACATTCAGTTGTAGAATATCATAAACGAGCGATTCAGTAGAGTCTGTCGTGAAAACCAAAATGATTTGCAAATGAGTGTATTTCTCCAGGTGTGTACTATCTGTGTACTATCACGATCGGTTTCGCCCTAATGTGCACAACATATGTGCCCTACAAACTGGAACCATTACGCAACAAATACATCTATATTGATAATCTTCCTGTCACGGGGGAATTTGAATGTTTTGATGTCAGGCCCCTCCAACATAACTCAAGACTCCCGGTGCCAATGAGAACAGTGTTGATGCGACGAGTCCATCTGACATCAGCTGTCAGAAGGATGACCAAAAGCAATTCCCTTTTAATGCGAAGCAAACCTACACTTAGTGAAACGCACCCATTTGCAAACGAATTTGGTCTGGTGGTTGAGTCACCTGGAACCCAGCTGAATTTCTCGTTCATGATGTCTTCAAGCAACTGAATGTGCTGCAGTATCTCGAATATCCTACTGAGACGGTCCCAAGAAGGGTAAAACCGGTCGTGGGCTGTCGGGGAATTTTCAGCAACGCAACCCTATGTGTATTACGTTTGAAAAAGTTGATCGAGCTTGATGTTTACGGTCCCAAAATGTAGCGGCAACAAAAATGTGATACGATCCACTCCTGTTCTACTGAAAGAGATATCTCTGTGCATTCTCCATGAGAGGTCAAAATGTTGAGCTAATCTGTAGACTGGTTACAATTCCGCGTCGCGGCACATTCCAGTCAATAAATTTGGTCACGGATTATCGGGCCTATTTGTTTACAGAAGGATACACTAATCTTGTGAGAGAAAAAAACTGATGTTTATGTTCAGGCTGTCAGTAATCTCCCCATCAAACCTGGTACACCAAGGGTTCCAGTTGGATTCTACTTCGAATGAAGTTATGCTTGACTTGCGCAGTGGGTGGTCGAAGCACACTATTCCAGGTAATCTTTTGGATCAGATGCAGCGATTGTGTATGTTCATCTGATGTCCGGTGCCCAGACTGCAATTGTAGGTCTCTCTAAGAACATAGTCTTAATCATCGTCTCCTGTGATTTACCATTAACCCGATGATTTTTTCTCGTTCGATTCGGCTACATTACAGTGAATCATCCGATTTCATCGTGTCCCCGGGCTTGACAGTGCACTCTGAAGGTTTTGGCTACTCATTGCCACCCTGTTCTCGGCAGTGCGAATCGCATTGCGGGGCTGCTGTGTTCATCAGTCCTCAAAGGATCGCCAGAAATTTTTCGAAAACCGTAAACAGTACTCTACCAGCCGACGCCAAATTATTACGTCCGAACAAGCGAACTTGTTGACACTTGTGCGATGTGATTGGTTGGCCCGATACTTCAAACCTCGAAACAGTAACCCGTTGTATAGCGTAAGACACTACTCAGAAGGTTGCTGAAAATTCTTCGACAGCTCACAACCGGTTTCGCACTTCTTGGGGCTCATCAGGTAGCCTTATGTTTGACTTGGTACGATATTGTGATAGATGTGCAGCACACCCAATTGCTTGAAAGATTCAGCTGGGTTCCAGGCGAGTCTCCTGCAAAGTTGTTTGCAAATGAGTGCATTTCGATAGTACCATCTAGGTTTTGTCCCTGGATTGACGTGCCTGTTGGGACTTCCCATTAAGGCGTTGTTTTGGACGCTTGAATCAAGCTCGACAATTTTTGGTCAGTTGTTGCTCGTTGCCGGAATTTTAGCGTTCACTAGTCCTAATTCAGTTGGTCTCTGCTTTCTGCAGGGATGCACGTTTGTTTTTTTTTTCGCCGAAGGGATGGCATACCAATCAGTTTTGCCTCCACAAAATTCCTTCTATCTTCACGGGAATAGTGGATTTGTTAGCGCAAAAATTCATGCGTTTCGCTAGCCTAGCCAATAAGGATTACGCTGCCCAAAGGTTTGGCCGTTGTTTAATGAAATATATACTTTTTGCGCTCATGAAAAATTGGAAAAATGCATCTAACCTGTGTCTAAATGGGTCGCGGGAGCAAGAATTTCTTTTTTCATAAAGGAAACTACTCACAAGGTTGCTGGAAACTCTTTGGCAACCCCCGACCACCTTCACTCTTCTTGGACCTCATCAGGTAGGCGCGGCTCCCGATTTACCGTCAAACTAATGTGCTACTTGAACCCAGGTTGGGCTGATTTCGACAAATACAGTCTTTTGCAAATCAATTTGGTTTCCACGGCAGGCTCAAGTGAATCTCGAATTGCACAGAAAAAATCCTCGTCTGATGAGCCCCGCCAAGGGCAAAACCAATCGTGGGGTGTCGAAGAGTTTTCAGCAACCTTGTGAGGAGCTTCCTTTATAGAAAGAATTTCTCTTCTTTTGAAACAATTGTCACGGTCCTCGAAATGCCATTTGACGTACTTATACACTACTTATATTATCTGGGTAGCCAAATAAATAAATAAAATTACTTAACCCTCTATTGATTGGACATCACGTTGGCTGTTCTGGAGGCATTTCTCTCTTACTTTATGACTCAGACCAGTATTTCGTAACGACGCAATTTATCGTACGGTTCTACAGAGTTGCCGTTGAAAACTTTTGAATGACACTGACCAAGAGCCTAACCGTCTACCGAGGTCAACAATCTGCGGATATCTGAGTCACCCCAACATCGGGGAACCGTTGCTTGCTCGTTGCTTGAACCCGAGATTTCGTTGGCTAGAACGGTAGCTTTTTTCAACCTTACTCAATAGTAAACAAATAGTTCTGGAAACAGGCAGACTTTAGTAGAAAGCGAAGCTGTGCCTCCAAATGATGACAAATTTTCGTTGAAGAACCGCAAACTTTACGGATGGCTGGTATCTGTTCCAAAAGACGGAGATACTGAGCTCAAGTTGGACGCCAGATAGCTTTCAGCTAAAGTTACAAATCTTTGGGTTCTGTTCAGGGAGGTCAATGCGCTATCGTAACCATATTTCTTTCATGAAATGAGGTCAGTACTGCCGCCCTCTGAGAAACTGGGATAGTGCACCGGGGTATGGAGCTTTCGGGAAACGCCGAGTGTATTCACACAAAAAATTGAGTATTACTAACATGATGCTATCTTCCAATGTGACGCTTTACCGGATGGTAGGTTTCCGCAATGTGCATCACTTCATCGAAGTCATTCAGTACTGTACCACGACTGTTTATACTCACGACCGAATGAGTAGTTGAACAGGAATCACATTGTCAGTAGAAATTTGAAGTCGGTTCAGGAACACAATGCGCATTGACTGTTGCTCAGATAAAAATACTGAAATCAGTGTACATTCAAAACCAAAATCTTAAACGAATCTGCTTGAAACTGTGAATAATTGCGCTGACAGCCCCAGTTCACTCTCAGAGTAGTTGGAAGAAATGCAGCGGTATTCGTGTTACAAAAACCATGTCAGGGATAAGGCTGCTTAGACCATAACATCCAAAGATAATGTTTGAAAGAAATATAGTTCCCCTGTTCGGAGGGCTTCCTGTTCTTCGGGACTACCGCTAATTGTTTCTTTGAGCCCTCGTTAATTTTCACTCCCACCGAAAGAGGTCATAATTTAATAGGAATCATTTATGCAAGGCACTACTCATAAGGTTGCTGAAAACTGCTCGACAGCCCACGACCGGTTTCTCCCATTTTCCCACAGGGGTGAAAAGGTTCTCTTTCCGTGGAAGAAGATGCTTACCAGACTAAAGCGGTGGCCCTAAAACACCGACCTTGGCAACAGTATTAGTCAACTATGATATAGCGGCACATCATCATTACGCGGTTATTTCTTTCCTCGTTATTTTGACCTTTTATACGCATTTTGACCCATGGAGAGGTCGTAGTTTATGACAGCGATGGACTAGAAACTTCAAACTGTGCTTCCAAAGCAACACCGTGTCGTCCTTCAGCCTTTCGTCAGTCCACAGCAAGCTGCCATGCTACAATCCAAGAGTTCTGAGCATAAAATGGCCTACATGGCGGTGACCTCATCGAAAGTGAGTTTGTGATTAGGCATAGCAAGTGGCAGGGATTCATCTTCGGTGCGGACCACTCCATCTATGTGCGTACATCTAGTTCCTCAACATCTACCTGAGTTGCCTAGTCAAAGAGTGCAGGACTAGTGTGGTAATTTCCAAAGTAATAGCTAGACCCGGATGACCTTGAAGTTGCAAAATACTGGAATTCCCCTCCCTTTGTTTTTGTGTCCTACATGCAAAAAAATCTCTGGCGGACATTATTGTCCATACTTTAGCCCTCACCCTTTTGGACCGAAGTAAGATAACACCTAAGTCAAACTACTGTACAAATACTAAGTAGCTAAAATTATAATGCCGTTCAACGAACCTGAAAGCAGAACCGTCCTGGAAGATCACAAATGCTGGAGTCAACTGGTTGGATGGAAGTGACGCTCATTGGGGACTGGGTTAAGGTGAGTGTAGAACGTCGAGAGTCCACAGATGGAACAATGCCAAAGGAGTTGAGTAGTTCAGCCGGTAGATGAATCTGTTGATGTAATACTTTCAAGGCTTCTGCAGGAGTGGTATCGCGCAGCACACTGGTGGACTGACCAATCAAACTGTCAGTTGATCCAAGAAACCTGATGATGACGAAAGTTAAAAAGCAATAGAGATAAACTACATAGGCGGTTGGTGGCGTTTTTATTGCGAATTATTCGGATGAGGTTGTAAGTATTCCCTGAAACTAGAGTCCAGTCCAGAACTTATATTATATCTGCTTTGATCCAATTTGAAAAGGTTATTAGCTGAGACATTTCAGGGGTATCATTTAGCTTGGTTTTTCACTGGCCTGAAAACACTCTTACTTTCAAACTATTAAAACCCAAAGCAAGTTATTGAATTTGGGTGAGACAGGAAACGCTGACATTCACCTAAGTTTATTGAACGAATCTCGTTTTAAAACTGTTTTGATGGGAATGCGTACGTAGTATAAGTTTGCTACAGAAACATGCAGGCATGTGTGAAGATGCGAGTACAAAATTTGACTGAATCTAGACTAGACCGACGGCCTGTCGTGGTATTCGAGATCCGTTTGGTTGGAGTCGGCTAGATGAGTTGGAACGACACCCAATAAATCCAACATCCCTGATGAACTAAGACCTCACTTCGCAGTGAGATCACTGATTAATGGAAAGCCGTCGAAACATTTCGTGTCCGTCAAAAAGTGTTCTTTTGGGTCACAACTACGGTTGTTTGATACCTGGCCACAGCTGTGTGAGCGCATGGAGCGGTATGTGTGGTGTTTTGTCCTGTACTAGTCCTTATGGAAGTTAAAGTACAAAAGAAAACACAAATACTGTGAACCACCCGAGGAACTGTGAACCATGTTAACACCGGCACAACCCATGACAGCAAATTTAGAGTCACAACTTTTGGATAACGATAGTACGATATTCCCAATGAGCCAGCACTGGGTCCCCTTCCTCGCCCACCCTTTTTCTCTTCTTTCCACTCTAGGGCTTTTAATATAATTATATATGTATATGTATGCACTTATGACTAGACGAATCTTATGGTTGTACGGCAGTGAAGCATCAGTGACAACACTGATGTTGCTGTCTTTGATGGTGATGATGATGATGATGATGATGATGATGATGATGATGATGAGCATATTTCGGTATTGAATTCGTGTTCTGGAAACGCATGGAACATTGGATGTTGTTGGTTGGATTCTTCAAGAGTGTCTGCCTCAGATCTTACAACAAAAGTAAAAGGAGCGTTGCCAGAGAAGTTTGTTCGACTCTACTCTTTACTTGTTAAGATGCAATTCCGACTTTACTTTCAGGTAGTGCTTAGAAAACATGGAACAATAAACAGGGAAATAGGAGTCTTCGGAGGTCATGGCAAGCAAGTCGTTTCCCGGTGGCAGGCCTGCGCCAAGTAAGGTGCCCGGCAGAGAGCACCAGGCAGTGAATCATGTGACGTAACCCTATTTGTTTTCGCATAGAACATGAACATCTGCCAGACAGCTGGACGCTTGAGGTTCTCAACGAAAACTTCGGCGTAAATGCCTGACCGCCAAAGTAGCCCAACATTTCGAAGGAGCAAGGTGCGCCACGTTTTCCAACACGCAGCCTGTAGGGTCAGGAGACCGTGTTAGTCAGACCTCTACCCGTTAGCCAACTACTAGGAGAACCAGCTCCAAACTTAACGGGACTACACAACAGCCAATGGAAGAACCGTTTTCGTTGAGACAGATTTCATTGGTTGTTCTTCACTCGTCCTTGACAGATGAGTTGTATTCTTCGTATCACTTTTTTTGACCCGCTTATACGCGATGGTGATCAGTGGATCAGCCGGTTCGCACGTTCATTGACTTTTTCTGGTTTGGCCAAGTGCACCAGGCTATCAACCGGCTATCAGGATCTGGGTTCACGGTAATAAGAAGGCATCAAGCAGACTGTGGTTCACAACACCAACCTACTAAGAGGAACCACGCGGACAACCCGCAGTATAGTTCACACCACGATGGAGTCGTCATTTCGTAACAGTTGTAGATGACAGGGTGTTGAAGGTTAGTCCACTGAATGTCTTTCTCTTTGGCGCTAAATAGTTAGTGTCGCGAACGTATGTCCGAACTGGCCGGATTAGTCGAAAAGCAATGATACCAGCGAGCAAAACAGACTGCTTATTAGAAACGAGACTGTCAGTTATCGATCCTCAAATAGATCGAAGTGTGCGGTTACACTTAGAGGGTGTGTTCATTCGATAACGTTTCTGCAACAGCGAGGTTATTCGACTGCTCTTGTAGTAAACGGCAAAAGTTCATTTATATTCGTTTTGACAAAGCTTATAGTTGACATCACATTACAACTGGATGCTAGACCAATCATCACACGGTGCCAGTTCTACCTGAAAATAAACAAACGATATATCACTACCGTCACGTAGATCTAGGCAGCAACGTCACTTCTTTCCAAGCTATACCGTAAACAATGCGGCCCTCGCCAGACCGGACGTTTGACGCTAGAAACCGAACCGTGACTCAGAGACAAACAAATCACCTCGGTACAAGATTAAGTGTACGGAGCCCAACCGTCCCCAATAACCAACCACTACATCATTTGGACGGATGCGTCACCTGCAGGACACGGGCCAAACGGAGGCATGTCCTGATTGGTCAGAATGCCAGCCAATCCGAGTCAAGCACTTTTGACTCGACGCTTTTCGCCCCCTCACGGAGATTTTGGCGCGACCTTGTGGAGAACTCTGTGACTACCCTCTGAATACAGTTGGAATAATTTTTCTGTCTCCATAAAAGGCTGTGTAGAGCTGCCGTACCTTTTGATATAACGCAGCGGGCAGAGCAGGAGGCCAAGGGACCGATACAGAGTTGCACTGCTGTTCAGCAAGTCACAACAGTTAGACGAATCGGTGATTGGATTTCACATTACCGTTTTAGTCGTTACTGAATGAAGCTAAAAGCCAGCTGACTTAGTGGGCTATCAAGACGAAGAGGTCAGGCATTCCAATGAAGGACTGTACGGAAGAGTGCCTGTTGTTGACAGGGTCTCCTCCAGATTGGTACTTCTCTACTTCCCGAAAGGAAGGAAGGTGAGCTGAAAATTCTAAACTGCTCTCACAACAAATTACTTTCAACCATCTCCGGCAAACTTGTTCCTCCCTACCCAAGTTACTTCAGGTTTCAAAACATTGCACGAAATTTCGGTTTGAACTTTCATTTGAGCTTCTATTTTGAACGTTTCATTTGGGCTTTGAAAGACGGGCCAAATTAGAGAGCACTTCATTCTGCCTTGTTTGTTTACAGCTAATTTGTCCACAGCCTGTGCCCTACATTCGATGTGAAAAGTGGTTCAGCCGCAAAACTCTTTCGGTGCCTGACTGCTACGCTACCCGGAGGAAGCATCAGAGCTGAGATACTGCCAGTTTACTCAAAAACTAGACGCGTGCAGTCGAGATACCGGGATCGGGTTCGAATCACAGACCTTACGGTCAATAAGTTCGCTCCTAAACTACAAAGCCATCTCGAGCTCGGCGATACCCAAACAGCCAAGTGACAACATAGATCGGAATATGAATGGAACCCTGTGGAAGTCAACAGACAAAACGTTTGTCAGGTTTAGTGTCAGTTTGCTGTTCTCACCTCAATGTATGTCCCTAACACAAGACAGATTTCGTCTCAAAGTATAAAGCGCAAGTGGAGGATAGAAAACAGCAAATACTTGTAACTGTTACAAACTGAATTAGGGCTGAGCAGTTCTCAGTGAACTATCGGATGTCAAAATAAAGGTCACTACCAATGGTGTGTTCGCTGAGCGTGGTGGGTTCAACAAAAATACTCTTCTGGTGTAACGGTGATACTACTGATGAGGGGGCATGGAAGTAGTACGTTTTCTCGTAAATCCACTTTGCGCCTCTTGAAAAGTGACATCTACTACAGAATTTGTGGAATCGCTCTGTAGCATTTGCTCGCAGTTCAGTAACAGCCAATGAATATCCAGAAAAGTTCAGGAAGACGCGTTCAAGGAGAAGAGGGATATTCAGTTTTGCTCCCCTGTCCAATAGTCTGTAACTGTTCAGTTAGCATTTTCTAATAAATAACTCCGCAGCGAAGGCATTCTTATTTCAGTGGTAGCGATATTTCGGTGTGTTAGTTAAGATTATTCAATTCTAACTGTTGTTGTGTCCTTTATGCGATTATGGCAATGCAGCCATTTGCGATGATGCGACGAATCTGCGAGGCTCGGGCCGCGTTTGCTGACTTCAGACACCTATGGCGTCAGAATGGTTTATCCCTGCGTCTGAAGGGACGTGTGTATCAAGCTACAGTGCGGGCTGCTTTGTTGTATGGCTGTGAGACTTAGCCTATTCGAGCAGCGGAACTGAGACGTCTTCAGGTGTTCGACAATCGTTGTCTCTAAACCATAGCTCGTGTGGGTTGATGTCGGCGAATCCGTAATGAGGCAGTTAGAAAGCGTGTTTTCGGTTGTGTAACGGGGACTTCCATTGAAGAATGGGTCCAGCACCAGAAGCTGCGTTGGTTGGGACATGTGTTACGTATGCAGAACCATCGTTTGCCGAAGAGAGTACTGTTTTCCATGCCCAATTTAGAGTGGCGTAAAGAGAGAGGTGGCCAACCCATGACCTGGCAGAGGAGTATGAAGGAGATCACGAAACGCTTGGGTGCTGTCGGTGCTACTCGCCTTCCAGGATGGTGACTGCGTGATCCTCACTGTGCCTGGTTGGACACCCTGCGAGAAATGGCTGCCAACCGATGTCAGTGGCGTTCTTTTTGTCAGTTTCTATCCAGATTGCCCGAGTGAGTGTCTGGAGGTATAGGTAGCTCGGAATGATTGTGGTAAGCTAGCACTAAGTCCCTTCCCCGTCCACCTTTACTCTTTTCTTTACAATAAGGTTTTCAAATAAATCATGGTTGTACGGCAGTGAAGCATCGG